GGCCTGTCTGGCACCGTTCCTGTCTCCGGCCACCCGCTGAGTCCGGGGACCGCGGCTGTGCCCGGCTCCCCTGGGCCCGTCCCCGGGGACACGCACAGCGCGAACCGCATCCCCGTGGGCAGCAGCGCCGGGCTGTGCGCTCCCGGTAACGCAATTTACATGTAAATACAGCTTCCCTCGCAGAAGGTGTAGCAGGCGGGGCAGGGAGTTCACCTGAAGCTAATTCCGGTTGCCACCAGAGCAGCTCTTTCCAGATGACTGAACTAATCCCGTCGAATTCCCAGGACTGACTTGCCGCTCAGGTTCTCTCCCATCACCTTCCTGCCGTACCCCACGCTCCCCGCGGGGCCGTGCCGGTCACGCAGGGCTTCGCTCTGCCGTGGTGGTGGGTGACACCCCCCCGGCTGGTGCGTGACAAACACCCTCCCCACCCCGACCTCAGAGAAGGCTCAGGCAGAGCCGAGCTCCCCCGGCTGGTGCGTGACAAACACCCTCCCCACCCCGACCTCAGAGAAGGCTCAGGCAGAGCCGAGCTCTGCCAGTGGGGAGCGTGACCCCAGCTCTTGCCCCGGGATCCCCCCGAACCCGAGGGTTCTGTGGCACTGCACATGGACACTCGGGAACACAGGTGGATTTGTGGCACTTCCTTTGCTTTGCCGGCGCTCGGTATGTGATCCCGGGCAGGCAGAGCATTCCCTGCCCTCACAGCAGGGGCCCTGCACCGTTACCTCTGCGACCCCCCCAGCGTCACGGCAGGACTGGAGGAGGGAGGGCTGGCTGCAGGAGCTGGGACAAGAGGAGAGGGCTGAAGAGCCAGGGAGGAGGGGGCTGGGGAGGGCAAAGGACCCCCAGGGCAGCTGGGATTGGGGGTTACAGACCTGCTGGAGGAAATCCCAGCAGTGCCAGATGTGGGGGGACCCTCACCAGAAGTGTGAGCAGTGTGCAGCCATGGGGCCTCGGCAGAGCCTGATCAACCCCTCTCCCCCAGAGTCACTACGTGGCCTGCATGGCTGCCATCCTGAGCCAAATGGACAAGGACCACTACAGATCCTACATCAAGGCTTTCCCCTCCCGTCCTGAGCTGATGGTGAGTGCTTCCCTACGCAGTGACCGGGACCCTCTGTCATCCCACTGGTCCCAGTGCCCTGCCTGGTGCCCCCTGCCCTGGACCTGGCATAGCCTATATCCCTGCTCCACCCAGCTCCTGACATCTCCTCCTCCCCTGCAGGACTTTCTCATGGAGACCTTCATCCTCTTCAAGGACCTGATTGGGAAAACAGTGTATCCCTCTGACTGGATGGTGATGAACATGGTGCAGAACCGGTGAGGACCTCTGGGTTGGGAGGGACCTGTGGACGTCGGTGCTGTCTGTGAGAGCCTGTGGAGCCCTGCAGGGGCCTGGGCACCAGTGGTGCCCCCGTGCCCTCTGCCCAGGCCTTAGCCCCCTCCAGCCCCACCTCGGACAGCCCACGGGCTGTGCCTAGGCTGGCTCAGGGAGCTCCAGGTCCTCCCTGCTCTGTCCCAGGACAGTCTGGCCCCATCTGGGAGCTGGGTGGCAGAGCTGCTCTCGTGTGCTTAGTGGGACCGTGGGGGGCAGCAGGGAGCCAGCACCAGACCCCCTTCCCTCCTCCCGGGGATGCTGGGTGTGAAGGACCGTGCCCTGTGCAGCGTTTGGAGCCCCGCGGGGGGCAGGAGGGAGGGGGCT